GGATCAGATCCGTCTTAATACATCTCTCACTACTTTTAAGAAAGCAGTAAAGAAGGAGCTTTTCCGGCAGGCCTTCCCAGAATAACCTCCTTGTAGGGATAAACATATTTGGATCCATTCTGCCCCTAGTCCCCCTCTGAGCGACACTCTGCTGTTGCTGCCATTGCTGTCATGTTCTTTTATCTTAATCATATGTTTGGTTTTTAATTTTATTAAGTTTAATTCTATTTTAAGGGGTGTGCGTTGTGGGTGGGGGGTGTAGGAATTTGGAATGTTTTAATTGCTGTATTTTAACTTGTTGTTAGCCGCCCCGATTGCTCTGCAGAGGGGCGGGTTACAAATAAAATTTTATTATATTATTATTATTATTATTATTATTATTATTACTACTTGTTGAATGTTAACTCAGTGCTTTAGTAAATCTCATTGATTCAGCACATGTGCTTTAGTTGGGAGAAGCAATGGCATTTAAGTTTGAGATGGAAATGATACTGTCTTCCAGATGCTCTTGGACTGCAACTCCCATCAGCCCTAACTAGCATAGCCAATGTTGAGAAATAATGGCAGTTGCAGCACAACTTCTGGATTGCTGCATGATTCCTACCCTTGAGGCGTCTTATAACACTTGGAGGACAGCAGGTTGAGAAAGGATAATCAATGGTCAGGAGCCACTGTGCTGTACCAGTCATTAGGGAGGGTGAAGTCATTGTTTGGTCTCACAAGCAGCCACCTAGAGCAGTGATTCCCAAACTTTGGTACTACAGGTGCTTTGGACTTCAACTCCCAGTAGCCCCAGCCAGCTTGGCCAGCAGTCAGGAATTCTGGGAACTGAAGTCCAAAATATCTGGAGGACTAAAGTTTGGGGATAACTGGCCTAGAGCAAGGCTGTGTCAGGGAAGAGGCATACTTCCTAGGCAATCCTGTGTTTGTCATTTGGGGATTGAGCAATGAGAAAAGCTAGCTGGGATATAAATCGAAAACTTGATTGTCTGGTGCTAGGGTTACCCTCACACAATCCAGAGGGCTACTGCAATAATGGGAATAAGGCTGTAGAGTGGAGGAAGATGTGACATTGGTCTCCCAGTATTCTCACCCCATCCCCACCCCTTGATGTACTGTGATTTGTCCTTCCATCACCACATTATACACTCCCACATGTTCAAGGTTTCCCTTAAGGCAAAGGTGGGCAAATATGGGGACGGACGGACTGGGGCCACTTCCCCCCCAAGACCCCCTCCATTGGGCTGCCCACCACGTCAAACCCAAATAGCTTTGTTTTTACTCTACAATCCCTTTCAATATGTTGTCAGGATGTCGCACCACTCTGTCGCTATTTTGAGAGAGTTTCTGAAAAATATGGCGGTATTAGATGTAGTACAAAGTTTGGTGTTGCTTATGGATTTGGGATATTTTTTGTGTGCTTGGCCCAAAAATATTGCCCCAAAATGACACTGCGCTTT